CCTATGCAGACCAGGCTGGCCTTGAACTCACAGAGATCTGCCTGCCTCTGCCTCCCAAGTGCTGAGATTAAGGCATGAGCCACCACAGTTTACTTAATTTTGTGTTTTTAATGACCTATTTAATAGATTAGTTGGTCATGTTTTGGTTTTTAGAAGATGGGGTGAGATGTAAATATCTGAAATAAGATAGCATGTATGTACTCACATTTAAAAATCACCATTCCAGCCAGGCGTGGTGGCACATGCCTGTAGTCCCAGCACTTGGGAGGCAGAGGCAGGCGGATCTCTGTGAGTTTAAGGCCAGCCTGGTCTGCATAGGAAATCCAGGCTAGTCGGGGCTAAAAGGGAGATGCTGTCTCAAAAAGAGCAAAAAAAAAATCCTATTACTTTGATCACAAAGACTAACTATATTGCCTATATTTTTCTGATAACATATAATAAAGATTTCTGGAGTAACAAAATAAAAACTAGTTAAAAATTGTATATTTTAAATTTAGAAAACTATTTTTTTATTTTATGTGTATGAGTGTATTGCCTCCATGTATGTGAGTGCACCCTTGTCGTGCAATGTCGCAGAGGTCAGAAGAGGGCTTCGAATTCCCCTGCAACTGGAGTTAAGGACAGTTCGTAGCCACCATGTGGGTCCTGGGAATTGAACCCAGGTCCTCTGCAAGAGCAGTCAGTGCTCTTAACCACTGAGCCATATCTCCAGCACCCATGTTTTTTTTTTTTTTTAATTTTTTATAAGCAACTTGAGAAGCGTGAAAATACTTATAACTTTAGGAAATACCTGTTTAGAATTTTATTTTGTAGAACACTGAACAAACACTTATAAAAATTTTTATTTTTGTTTATAATTTTTATCAAAATTTTGTTATCAAATTTTTTGTTGTTGTCTTTTTGAGACAGAGTCTCCCTGTAGCTCCCCTGGCCTGGAGCTCACTCTGTAGACCAGGCTGGCCTCAAACTCAGAGATCTGCCTGCCTCTGCCTCCCAAGTTCTGGGGTTAAAGGCGTGTACCACCAGGCCCAGTTCCAATGATTTTTTATTATATCCATAATATTGAAAGTTTATTTACTAAATATTTTAAAGTATAAATAATTTTGTTGTAGTCATGGCCGATAACTTCACAAAGTAATGTAAACTATATATATATATATATAATGATTATGAAAAATGTAAAGAGCTGGGCATGGTAGTACACACCTTTAATCTCAGCACTCAGGAGGCAGAGGCAGGGGAATCTCTGTGAGTTTGAGGCCAGCCTGGTCTCCATAGTGAATACAGGATGGCTGGGACTACAGGGAGACCCTGTCTCAAAAAAAAAACAAAAAAATGAATTTCTTTTTCAATCTTCAAGTAAAAGCTGGGATTATATATTTTTAATTAATTTTCACACTTAAGCCCTAGTTACTGTAAAAAGCAAAATTTCTTTTTCTTTTTTCTTTTGGTCTTTTTGAAATAGGGTCTCCTGGCTGGGATTAAAGGTGTGCGCCACCACACCTGGCTTAGAAACTCATTTTTTAACTTATTGTTTAGACAGCCCCTTAGTAACTTTGTTCTTTTTCCAAATTTAGTATTTTTAGTTTTTAAACTTTTTACAAACAGGAAAGAAGTGGTAACAGTGTTGTTTTTAACTTTCCCAAATTTATCTAAGATAATTAATCAACCACTCATAGGTCTGAACAAGATTTTGAGAAAGTCATTTATTATAACTTGCTTTGTAAATTAAAGCAAAATGAGTTTTTTTAAATGTAAGCTATTAATCAAGAATCAAACTAGTGGGACTAAAGAGATTGCTCAGCAGTTAAAAGCACTGGTTGCTCTTGGGGAGGACCTGGGTTCAATTCCCAGCACTCACATGATAGCTAACAACCATCTGTAACTCCAGTTCCACGGGATCCAACACCCTCCTCTGACCTCCGCTGGCATTGCACGACATGGGTACACCTACCTGCATGCAGGCATTACACTCATACATACAAAATAAAAATAATATATAAATTTTTTTTAAAAGAATCACATTAGTAATAGTAAACAGACCACAAGTTACAGATGTAATTTAATACAAGTACATTTTAAAATTCATTTTTGTTTAGAGTCTATCTTTCTCTGGGCTCCCTTTTGGCCCCTACAGACATCAGGATTTGTTTCTGGAGCCAAACCAATGAAGTTGGAATTAAGGCCAAGGCCCTATTTGAGTTTTGATATATTTATATTTTTGAGAACAGGAACTGTCCCCATGTTAAGTGACCTTATTATTCCCAAGAGGGGAAGTGAGAGCAGAATGTATCCTTAGGGTGATGTCATACACCCCTCTGTCAGCTCAAAGGGGCTGGCTGGAAAAGGCTGGGTTTTGTAGTGCTGGCTACAAAGGGCTCTTTGATTTATCTTGCTTTTTAGTTGTTTTTTTTTTTTTGGAGGGTGGGGGCATTGTTCATCCTAGGCCCAAACATTAACAAACAACCTGGCCCAATCTGAGGCTGTAGTCATAGGCTAGGAAGCGTTTTTCTAACATTCAGGTGTGTGACTACTAAATCATCTGGGAAAGGCACATTAGCTCGTGGTCCATGCTAACAAACAAACACCAAAGACATTTGCCTATTAACCCCCAGACTGAGGAATCTTATCTGAAAGCAAATCCCAGCAGTTACCTGTAGGAAGTGCCCAGGCAAGAGAATGCCTAGCCATCCATTAGGCGGTGAGGTGGACCTCCGTGTCCTTGGTGAGGCTCTACTGCAGGCAGGGATTTGCAAAGGGCAACAGGTTAGGGAGTACATGGACAAAGGACAGAGGAGAGGTCAGCTCTCCTGTCCTTGAGACAGATAACAAAAAGACAGGACAGAACAAGGCTGACAGGAATAGCCCTTTAGTACATTATTTTAGACCCAAAGGAAGTATTCGGTCACTCACACGACAATTCAGCGGGCCATGCATTCAAACAAAACCAGATCTCAATGTCTCATGAGAGACAGAAGTAGAAAACTGAATTCTGAGGGATGATTCCTCCTTATTATCACTTTCTTCCCATTAAATCTTTTGATCACCTGCCTTTGAAGAAGTAGGCATCTGTAAAGGCTGAGCAGCCCAAATTATAAAGTTACATAGAGACCAAACGTCTAAAGGGGTAACTTTGTCCTGTGTGCTTGTTTAGACGTTTGCAGCCTATCTTTCCATTGCTGCCTATGCAGCATGTCTTAAAGGGGCAATGAAAATATTTATCTGTATATTCAAAAAACTCATAAAAATTCTTTCTTTTCATTTTAACTCCCAGTGCTTTAACCATCATGTGGAGCAAGTATGTGCAATCCTCCCCTTTCCTTTTAGCTTGTCCCATAGTGATCCTGGTGTCCACGAGTGGGCCCCTTGCATGCTTACCAGAGCTCCATTCTTCACTGTTTTTTTGGTAGATTCACTATGCTTCAAGCAGGTCCCTGGCTGTGTAGCACCCCCCCTCGCTGCCCCCCCTACCCTCCCTCCCATGCTGCAGGAGCACTTTCACTGCCCTCCTAAGAGCCTTTTATTGGGAGCTCAGTGTTCAAAGTTCACACAGAGTTTACATATGATAAATGCTCAAGCTGTGTAAAACACGTAGGAATTATCCCATTATAACGGTGAGAAAGCAGCACAGCACACCCAAGGCCATGGCAACTGGCCCAGTAACAGACCTCCTTCGATGCATGCAGAAAGGAAAGGGGGGGGGCATCCCAGAGACAGCTCTTTAACTACTCTGCTTCCTAGCATCCTGGGAGCAGATCCTCCTGCCTCAGCCTCCCAAGTGCTGGGATTACAGATGTATACCATCATGATTGGATGAACAACAATTTTGCATCCAGACTCCTGTGGCATATACCAAAGGACAATACTCAGCCAATGGATGAAGTGTTCTTTTTTTTTTTTTCTTTTTTCTTTTTGCCCCTACACCCTGTCTGTAAGACGAATGCAGAGTCATTAAAGCTTGCAATTACAAATAAGCTTAAATCCCAGCTCCTCCACTTCCCAGCTCTCCACCTGGAAAAGCCAATTTGCCTGCTTCTTCATTACTGTCCAGGAACTACCTCTTCCCCAGGACGTTGTGGGGTTAGATGTGAAATGCCTAACAGGGCACAGGACTCAACGGATTCTGAAAACTACTGTTCAAGGAAGGCCAGGGAGGGTGTTTTCCATTCAAAATGACTTCCCCCACCCTCCTCTTGTGCCCCTGCAAGAGGGTAGGAGCTACTTTCAGAGAGATCCTGTTTTATTGTCCACTGGTAAAATCTGCCCTGCTAGGGACTGATAGGCCTTCCAAGAGAAAGCATCGGTAAGTCTTCTTGGTCTACTGCTATCCTGCAGTAAAAGATAAACCGCAGCTCTCTAGAGAGCTGCAGAGATTAGCTGACTCCGCCCGCGAGAAAAGAAGTCAGCCCCAAGGTCCCCAGACTAGACATCTCTGGCAAATTTTGCGATCTTGGACAAATAATTCGGTCTCTTGGACCTCAGTTTCCCTGTCTGCCTTATTCCTACATGGGTGGCTCAAGCCTGGGACCGCTGTAGATACAATGATTCTTGCGTAACTGACCTTTCCCTCCGCCCATTGTCTATCAGGTTCCTAAAAGGGCTGAAAACTTAGTAGTAGTACTTCTTTTATGAGAAAACCTAGACTGGGCAAGGCCCCATTCCAACCTTCTCTTGACTTTAATTTTTTCAGTAGACAGCCGAGCTCCCAAAGCCGCGTAATTACATTGTCAAGTTAAAGAGCGCTGGATGGAAATTAGCGGCACAGACTGGGGCTGCCGCGGGACTCCGGCGGGGGTGGGACCGGTCCAGGAGGGCGCCCGGCCGGCCAGACTCAGGACAGCTGGGCCCCACGCCCGGCTCAGCACGCCCCAGGATTCTCAAGTCCGGGTTGAAGCTCGGGGCCGGGATTCCGGGCAGCTCCCGGGAGCGGGCGGGGCCAGGGGCGGGGCGGCTGCAGGAAGCGGCCTGGGCCCAGGCCTGGGGGAACCGCGGACCGCGGCAAGGGATCCTCGGGAGCAGCGCGCAGCCCGGGACGCTGGAGGCGGAGTTGCGCGCAGGAGCACGGGAGCCCCTGGCGGTGGGAACGTGGCTTGCGCGCCGGACGTAGGGGACAGCCACCCGAGGGGTCCGGGGCTTGCGGGGTCCTGGGCTCGGGCTCCCCAGGGGCGGAGTCTTGCTCTCGCCACGCCTCTGACCCCGCCCTCCAGGGCCCGCCCCTGCTCGCTCGCGGGCGGGTCCCTTCCAGCCGGGCCAGCGCGGCGCTCTCCCCCCAGGGTGCCATGGCCTCCCGGCTCCTGCACCGGCTGCGACACGCCCTGGCCAGCGATGGCCCCGGGGAGGCGGCCGCGGGCCCCGAGGCCGAGCAGTTCCCGGAGAGCTCGGAGCTGGAGGACGACGATGCCGAGGGCCTGTCCTCCCGCCTCAGCGGGACCCTCAGCTTCACCAGCGCGGAGGACGAGGAGGACGAAGGGGACGACGAGGACGACGAAGCCGGCCCCGACTCGCTGGCCTCCGGGGATGGGACGTCGGGAGAAGACGCAGGCGAGTGCGGGAGGATGGAGACAGGAACCCTGGGGCTCGGTTAGGCCTGCGCCCTTGCTGCGTTCCCGAGAGCATCCCGGGAGCCCTGAGCTGATCTGGCTTAAACTCTTAACACTTCTTTAAGCACCTCCACACACCCTTTGGCTGTGTGACCTTGAGTCACAGTACCTCAGATGGGAATCACTCTATCTCGGGGGGTTTGTGGCTTTTAAATGCACAGGACCAGGGAAGTCAATGTAATGATGTGCTAGGTGCTTTGGGGTGGAATATTTAGCGGGCAGTATGAGCCAGGAACTGTGGCACGGGTGCTTTTCTAGTCCTGCGCTCCGGTTCTGTAAAATAGAAATTAAGCCCATCTCGCTAGAACGAATGCGGTCACAACATGTAGTTTTATGTTGACCCTGGCGCTAGCCCTTTGATATGACGGGCCATGCATGTGCTTGTGCAGAACGGAGCCCACCTGATGGGCAACGGGGCAGTCAACTCCTGGCCCGGCAACTGCAGGATTTCTGGAAGAAGTCTCGGAACACCCTAGTCCCACAGCGGCTGCTCTTTGAGGTGACCAGCGCCAATGTTGTCAAGGACCCTCCCTCCAAGTACGTGGTGAGTGAGGTTCCAGGAACCCTTGGGCAGCGAGTCTGTAAGTCTGGCTGAGAAAAGAGGGAAGATGACAACTTTCGGGGGTTCTGTCAGTTGTAAATGGCCGCCCTTACTTCACACAATGGGAGAACTGAGGCCAAAAGGAGATGTAATTTGAGCAAGTCCTCAAGCAAATGACCTCTGAAACTGGAGAAGTGGAAATTAAGGAGCTGCCTCCTATCCTGGTTTTGAGGTCAAGAAAACTGGTCTGTGTACTGTCCCATATCGCATGGATTTTTCAAACTATCAAGACACAGACTTGAGACCCAGTTATACGGGTTAGTGGTTAAGGAAATGAGCTTTGGATCCAGATCAACCCTGATTCACATCCAGCTTCTCCTTGGGTGGGTTCTGTGACCTTGATGGCCCTGTTTCCTGGTCTGATTAGTAGAATAGTGCACAGGATAACAGCAGGAGTTACATGAGACCGTTCATCCTCAGCCTTGTGCCTGGTGCCCTGAAATAAGACGGTAGCTGTAGTTTCAGCCTTCCTAATCTGAAAATCCACAATCTGAAATGCTTGGAATCCATTTGAAAACCAACATGTGGAAAATTCCACACCTAACTTCTTGTGATGTTTGCTCAAAATGTAGGCACATAGAGAATTTCAGGCCAGCCAGGGCTTCATAGTGAGACTCTGTCAAAAAATAAAAGTACATCTTCTTGATAAGTGATGTGGGAGGGCCCAGCCCACTGTGGGTGGTGCCACCCATGGGCAGGTGGGCCTGTGGTGCATAAGAAAGCAGGCTGAGCAGGGGCCAGGGGAGCAAACCAGTAAGCAGTGATCCTCCGTGGCCTGAGCTCCAGCTCCTGCTTCCAGGTTCCTGCCCTGAGTTCCTACCTTGGGCTCCCTGATGAACTGCGACCTGGGAGTTGTAAGCTGAATAAACCCTTTCCTCCCCCCCCCGAAAAAAAAAATTAAAAAATAAATAAAAATAAAAGTAAAAAGTACTTGAGAGGCAGAAGCAGGAAGACTATCATAAGTTCAAGGCTAACATGGGCTACATACTGAATACCAGGCTAGCCAAGGCTACACAGCAAGACTGTCTAAATAAAAAAATAAAATAAAATAAAATACCATATAAAACCAGGCTAGGAATGTAGTTCAGTGGTAGAACATTTGCCTAGCATGCTCGATGACTCTGGGTTTGATCATCCCCCTGCCACAAATTATAGAAACTACTTTCAGAGACAAGTATGGTGGTGCAATTGGAGGCAGAAAGATCAGGAGTTCAAGGTCAGACCAGCTACACAGCAAGGCCAGCCTGGGCTACGTGAGACCTTATCTCAAAACAAGATAAAGGGACTGCAGAGACGGCTCAGCACTGGTTGCTCTTGCAGAGGACCAGGGTTTGGTTCCCAGCACCTATATGCAGCTGTTAACTCCAGTTGCAGGGGGATCTGACACCCTCTGCTGGCCTCTGCAGGCATTGCATGACATGGGTGCACTTAACATACGTAGTCAAAACATACACATAAAATATAAATTAAGGGCTGGAGAGATGGCTCAGTGGTTAAGAGCACTGACTGCTCTTGCAGAGGACCTAGGTTCGATTCCCAGCACCCACATGACGGCTATGAACCGTCCTTAACTCCAGTTCCAGGGGAATCTGAAGCCCTCTTCTGACCTCCGCGGCATTGCACAACACAGGTGTACTCACATACATGCAGGCAATACACTCATACACTAAAAATAAAATATTTTTTAATTAATTTAAAAATAAAACAAAAAAACCTACCTTCGGGCTATGTGTATACATTACATAGAAAATATAAGTTTTAGGGGCTGGGATGTAAATCTCAGTTGGTAGGGTGTTTGCCCAGCATACACAAAGCCCTGGGTTCAGTTCCCAGCCCCACATAAACTGGGTGTGGTGACACACACCTGTAATCTCAGTACAGGAGGAAGCAGAAGAATCAGGAGTTCAAGGCCAGCCTCAGCTACATAAGTTCAAGGATAGCCTGAAATATGTAAGATCCTATCTCAAAAACCCAATTTATTTATTTATTTATCTATCTTGTATTTGGATGTGAGTCCCATCTCTACAATATCTCATTGCATATATGTAAAGATTCCAAAATCTGAAATATTTCTGGTCCTAAGCATTTTGGTTAAGGGATACTTGGCTGCATTATTATCTAACTTTAGGTTGGAAATGTCAGGTGCCTAGGGCATGCTTGGCCTCTTTATAACCCAGGTGAGTCAATTCTTTAGCATCCCTGACTCCAGCACCATAAAGGCTAAGGAGTTAGAGAATAATATGGACAAGGGCCTGGAGTCCATTTTCCTTGCTATGAAGGGGAGAAACTGTTAGAAAGAATGAAGTCTGCCAAGTCCTGCTCCCTCCCAAGCCTAAATCCATCTGAGCAGGCCAGTCCAGGCAGTGGCAGCTCCCTGCTTGTCATTCTCCTCTTCACACCCTCCTCCATCTGACTCAGCTAGACCCGGCCTGGAGCCCTGTCCCACATTTGGACCTCTCCACCCTTCTCTGTTGCTGTTAGCAATAAGGGCCACACCCATGGGGTGACTGCTCCACTTTGAACAGGGAATGATGGATCCAAGGCTTTATTTATTGTGTTAAAGATCAAATCCTTATGCATACTAAGTAAATGCTATACCATAGAGCTATACACCACCAGTCCCTGATGGTCCAATCTAAAGTGGTAAATGTCCCAGAGCTCTGGAGTAAGGGGTCATGCACAGGAAAGAGACACCAAGGCTCAGTCACCAAAGAGCAGCTCAAAAGTAGGAAGGAATAGAGGTGACTTTGGTACCTAGATGGAAAGGCATCATATGGAAGGTGAGGATGGCCATCTTCTGTCCTGTCCTATGTTGGGAAAATCAAGCCAACCTCCTCTGTACAGTGGCACCCAGTATCTCCATGTTACTTCTCCTAGAAGTCAGGAGCACAGGTTTTAGAATCAGATCTTAGGGCACATCTTTGTGCCCTTCACTTCCTCTGTGAGCCTGCTCCTCAGCTGACAGATATGACACCTTCCTTGCAGTGCTATTGTTGATAATTAAGAGAAACCATAAATGGAAAAGTGCTTGGTACAGCACAAAGCATAGGGTAAGTGCTTAGTGCTCAGTTACTACAGTCACACTATGCTTTTGGAGTATTGTTTGTGCTGCTGGGGATGGAGCCCATGGCCTCATTCAAGCTAAGCAAGCATTCTGCCATTGAACTACATCCCAAGCCCCAAGAACTACAATCACTGTTACCTATTTTGGTGGGCCATTTCAAGCATCAGATGAAATAATGGCTATAAAATGGTCTCTGCCAAAAAAATTTTTTAAAAAGGCTAGAGGAGGAGTTAGGGGTGAATATGATTAAAAGGTATGTAGCATGCATTCATGAACTCAAATTAAATTAAAATTCTTAAATATCAAATTAAAAAATAAAATTAAATCAAAGCTACATACAGGGTTACTGCGAGCGTTTTTTTCTAAAATATGCCCAGCAGAAAACTGTTTTGCTGGAATGTTAATAACTGTTGAAAATAAGAGAAAAGAATGGGGCCTGGTAGTGCAGGCCTGTACGGCCAATACTCCCAGCACTTGAGAGATGGCGGCAGGAGGCTCAGGAGTTCAAGGCCAGGTTACAGGGGTGGGGGGTGGAGAAAGAAAAGTAGGGGAAGAGAAAGGTTGTGTTTGGTCAGTCTGTTTTGCCAGTACAGAGTTGAACAAAAGTAAATAGTTTTTTTTTTTTTTTTTAACGTACTGTGAATCTTCCAAAGAAAAAATAGGGAAGCTGAGGTGATGGGGAGTAGCTCGGGTATTGGCCGTTCCATAGGGTAAATTTGAGAAAGTTTGCTGGGTAGCCCGTTAACATACAACACCTGTAACTCCCAGTTTATACCTCCTGCCTTGGTGTCAGTCCTCAGTAGTCCTAAATAGTCCTTACTCAGGCTCTCAGATCTGGAGGAAAGCATAACAGTCATCTTGTTCAGTGTTTACCAAACAAGAATCTTTACACCTTTGCAGTTTTTGTCCTGTTTAAAATGCTACTAGTGCCGGACATGGTGGCACACACCTTTAATCCCAGCACTCAGGAGACAGAGGCAGGCAGATCTCTATGAGTGAGTTTGGTCTACATAGCGAGTTCCAGGCCAGCTGGGACTACAAGGAGACCGTCTCAAAAAGACAAAAAAAAAAGAGCTACTAGTGGGCCAGGAAGATGGCTCAGTGGGTAAAGGCACTTGCCTTGCAAGTCTGAATTCAATACCCAGAACCTATGGTGAAAGGACTCTGAAAGTTGTTTTGTGCACAAGCACACACGCACAGGTACACACACACTAGATAAAAAAACAGATGAATAAATAAAATGCAACTAGTATAACTCTTTGATTCACTTTATATTGGGAAAGGGGGTGACAGTGAAACTAGGGCCTCATGCATGCTCGGCAAGTGCTTTACTGCTGAGCTATATTCTCAGCTTATTTTTATTTTATCTGTAATAGTGTTTTGCCCACATGTATGTAAGTACCCCACATGCATACAGTGCCCAGGGAGACCAGAAGAGGGCATTGGAACCCTGGGAGCTGGAGTTATAGACAGTTGTTAGCCACCATGTGGGTACTGGGACCTGAACCAGGGTCCTCTGCAAGAGCAGGTATGCTCTTAACCACTGGGCCATCTCTCCAGCCCATCAACCTTCTTTTTAGTATTTTGGGGTTTTGTTTTTGGTTTTGTTTTTTGTTTTTGGTCCTTCTTGAGACAGGATCTCTCTGTAGCCCTACCTGGCCTGGAACTCACTATATAGACCAGGCTGGCCTTGAACGCAACAGAGATCCACCTGCCTCTGCCTCCCGAGTACTGGGATTAAAGGCATGTACCACCATACCCTGCTTTCTTCTTTTTATTTTGAGAAGTCTTACTAAGTTGTCAGGCTGACCTTCAACTCACTGTGTATCCCAGGCAGGTCGTGTACATTCAATCCTACCTCAGCCCAGCCTTCATAACATTTTTCTTTATAGGAACCCTCTCTCTAAGCCCTATAGCGCTACTAGTATATAGCACTACTTGCTGTAAAGAGACATTAAGCATGAGAATAGAAGTATGGAGCTGCTGGGCCAGTGAGGCCTGTAATCCCAGCTGCTTGGGAGGCTAAAGCTGGAGAATCTTAAGTTCAAGGGCTGCCTAGGCTACATAGTTGAGTTTAAGGCCAACCCAGACAACTTAGTGAGACTTTGTCTCAAAACAAAAAATATAAAGTTAGGCATGGCGAAGCATACTTGTAATGCCAACACTTAAGAGATACAGACAGGAGGATCAGGAGGCATTCATCCTCAGCTACATAGTGAGTCTGAGGGGAGTAGGGGTTGGACTGTAGACATAGCTCAATAGTAGAGTGCTTACTTAGCATGGCAAAGCCCTATGTTCAATCCCCAGTACCACAAAAAAAGAACCACACGCGCAGACAAAAGTGTGGGGGTGGATGTGTTGCTCAGTGTTATTACATGTCTACAAGTTTCTGGTTCCCATCTTGTAACACACACACACACACACACACACACACACACACACACACAGTGAAAATTAGGCCAGATGTGGTAGTGCAGGCCTTTAATCCCAGCACTTAGGAGGCAGAAGCAGGCGGATCTCTATGTAATCAAGGCCAGCTTGGTCTATATAGGGAGTTTCAGGGCTACAATGTGAGACCCTGTCTCACAACCCCCTCCCCCCCCAAAAGGTGAAAATTAACAAAGCAATTATTAAATCCTGCCTAGATGCTGTTCCCTGAAAGAAGGTTCTGAACTGAGATTAACTGAGTGAGATTCAGTTTCTGGCTCTTTACAAAAATGAAGATGAGACATGTTAGAGAGGTGCCAATTTGTAGTGAACAGACTAGAAGAGATGAGCATGGTGTGTGCCTCCAGTCCCAACCATTTAGAAGGCTGAGGCAGGAGGATCACCTGAGCCTCAGTAGTCTAGGCCAGCAGGGCAACAGGAGGAAACACCCACCTCAAAAAGACAGGAAACTGGTCTGTGGTGGCTCACGCCTGTGATCCCAACACTCAGGAGACTGAGGCAAGAGAACTGCCAGGAGATCAAGGCCAGCGTGAGCTACAGAGTGAGACCCTTGGACACACTCTGTGTCCTAGAGAACTGGAGATGCAGCTCAACTGGTAGAGTGCCTGGCTAGCATGCACAAAACTCTGTCTTGGGTCCCTAGTACTGCAGAAACCAGGTGTGATGATGTGCACCTGTGATCTCAGCACTCAGCTCCACAGCAGGCTTGAGGTCAGCATGGGCTATATGAGACCCTGTCTCAAAAAAAACAAAACAAAACAAAAAACCAAAATCTTGGACTGGCAAGATAGCTCAGCAGGTAAAAGCACTCTCCACACAGGCCTGATAACCTGAGTTCAATCCCTGGAATCCCTGGTGGAAGGAGAGAACCAACTCCACAAAGTTATCCTCTGACCTCCATACGTGCACTATGGCATGTAAATTCCATCACACACACGCACGCATGCACGTACACACATACAAATAGTAGTAGTAGTAGTAGTAGTAGTAGTAGTAGTAGTAGTAGTAGTAATAGGCCCAAAAGAAAAAATAGGTACATTAAAAAGGGTCAAAGGAACCAGGCATGGGGGCACATACCTATAATCCTAGCACTCAGGAAGCTGGGACAGGAGGATAGTTGGTTTGAGGTCAGTCTGGGCTACATAGTGACACCTTGTCTCAATAAAAGGAAAGAAGAAACAGGAATCACCCCATTTAGTGATGCAGTAGACTCCAGTGTGTATAACCTAAGAATCTCAGGTACCTATGCTTGTACATCCCATACTTGAGTAATAATGACCTGACCCAAAAACTTGTTCTTTAGAGTTAAGGCAGACCTGCGGGTCACTGCTTTGCCTGCCCTTACTAAGGGAGAGGGACTGAGCTGGGGTCACAAAGTGAGTCCTGATCCAGCAAACTCAAAAGTTTTGCCACCGGGGCTGACTGAAGACCTGTCCTATGGTCTGGTTTGAGACAGCCTGGCCAATAATGTGGAGGCAACTATGTATTCAGAGTGGCACACAGTTCCAAGCAGGCCCTCGAATTGGCTCAGAGGCCCCAAAGAGTGGTCTGGGTTCCAGCTCACTCCTTCACAGGAACTGCCCTACGGGAAGGGAGAGGGTCCCAGAAGCAGCAAAGGGGCAGTAGCCTCAAGCACTGAAGCTCATCTCTCTTTCTTTCCCTCTGCTGCCTTGGGCCTGGGCCATTTCAGAGGAGCCTCAGGTAAGATGGGAGTGGGTCCCACTCCATTGCTGGGGAAGAGAAGAGGTGGGGAAGGGAAGGAAGGGGTCCACAGAGATTACATCGGTCCTGATACCCAACCCTCCCCACAGCTCTACACCTTCGCCGTGATGGGCCCAGGAGATCGCCAGCCAGCCCAGATCTCTCGCCGCTACTCAGACTTTGAGCGGTTGCACCGAAACCTACAGCGACAATTCCGGGGTCCCATGACTGCCATTTCCTTTCCCCGTAAGCGCCTGCGCCGGAACTTTACTGCAGAAACCATTGCCCGCCGTAGCCGGGCCTTTGAACAGTTTTTGGGCCACCTGCAGGCAGTACCTGAGCTACGTCACGCACCAGACCTTCAGGACTTCTTTGTGCTGCCCGAGCTGCGGCGGGCGCAGAGCCTCACTTGTACTGGTCTTTATCGTGAGGCCTTGGCACTCTGGGCCAATGCCTGGCAGCTGCAGACCCAACTGGGCACCCCTTCTGGCCCAGACCGCCCCCTGCTGACTCTGGCTGGGTTGGCTGTGTGCTACCAGGAGCTGGAAGATCCTGGGGAGGCCCGGGCCTGTTGTGAGAAGGCTCTGCAGCTGCTGAGAGACAAGAGACCCCACCCTTTTCTGGCACCCTTTCTAGAGGCCCATGTCCGGCTCTCCTGGCGCCTGGGAGTGGACAAACGCCAGTCGGAGGCCCAGCTCCAGGCCCTACAGGAGGCAGGCCTTACCCCCAGCCCACCTCCCAGTCTCAAGGAACTGCTCATCAAAGAGTTGCTGGACTGATTCCTGTCTTAAGGCCAGGATGAGAGAGGGGCTGCCTCAGGTTCAGGGGATGGGGACACTAATGAGGACATGTGGAGCAGCAGGAGGTTACAGGGGTGCTGGGAGCCCCTAGAAGTAGTCCCAGAAAGAATCTGCAGCAGACTGAGGCCATTTTCTTTTGCTGAGCTGGCCTCCCAATAGGCTTTGCATGGGGTTACCCTAGAATGATAGAAGGGGGAAGTCTTCACAGTCTCTACAGCCTACCACGATCAGCCAGAGGCGGTGGCCCAGGTCGGGATCAATGTTTCCTTTTCCACAGGGCTACAGGCCAATGAAACAGTGTAGCTGAAGGGCAAGGGACTCCTGTTGACATGTTGGAGTTGAGACACAGGGAGGGCCAGCCACTCCAATGTTAGCAATCTCTTTATTGGATTTGAGAAGAAGCCCAGCTCTTCTGTGATCCTGCCTCTGGACGGGTGGAAGTAAGGGAGTCCTTGAAGGCCCAGGCCAAGCTGGTATCTTTGCTATAGCTTACTCTCTAGGACCCGGGGCTTTGATCGGATCACGCCCTCCTGGGCACAGGTCACAGCAAGGACCCCATCTCGACGCCACAGCCGCCCATGCACCAGCCCTCGAGAACCACCTGTGGGTGAGAAGGGTGAGAATGGCCTCTCCTTCAGGTCAGCCAAATGTGCTTTCTGCAGAGGGGTTTGGCACAGCACAGGGCCACTCTACACAAAGGCAACTGGAACAAGCACCAAGTACCCCCTTTGTGAGCCTGTTACAGTCAGTGGGGGACTCCCCCCACCGGAACCCCACTTGACAGTTTAAAAGCACTTTCACATATCTTCTTACTTCCTCAAAAAGATCATAGAGAAAGGAGCTCTGAGAACAGACTCCAGTAGCTTGGCCAGGCTGACTGCTGCACCTGTGGCCACTTCTGTTAGAAACCCCATGCACAACTTTTATGATAAACCAAGCCAAGGCCTCCCAGCTGGTAACTCATGAAAACCAACACCAAGGGGAGGAGTGGCTCGGAGACCTGAGACCATGAGGTGTGGCCTCCCTTCCCTTTCCACAGAGAGGCTCTTTCTCCCTTGCTGGCTCTGGGCCCGAGTCTGCCGTTCATGAAGAGAACTGCTGATTTTCCTTACACAGAGCAGAGCTCAGAGCTCACTTACATCTAAGAGGAGCCATATAACACAGCTGCATTTGTTGTCCTGTTTTCCAGACAATGACACTAAAGTACAGAGGCTTGGGAACCTGGCCCCAAGGGTCAGGCCAAGCCTGGTCCAGGTGACCTAACTTCAAGGTTGTGAATCTTGTACTCTGATGCTGTTGGTACTTGAGTGCCTCTTTCCTGGCTAGAAAGCGTTGCTTAAGTTTTGACCCTGTTTTATAAAGCAACACTTTTCTTCCTTTGATGTGTACTTCCTTGTAAAAAAAAGGCAGCGTTCTAAAGCTAGACACAGACAAGTCTGGGTTTCTCTCTGTGCCCTATAGGGAGCATTCAGTAGTGACCCCCTTAATGACCACTGAGTGCCCTGCCCCTGATGATATTGTCAGAATCACTTATGGAGCATCTTAAAAGTAGTTTATTGGTGTATCTCAGTTGGTAGTGCTTATCTAGCACTCTACCATAAGTACCATTAAGAGGCCCTGAGTTTGATCCCATTAAACCACGCCTATAATCCCAGCTACTCAAGAGAAGGTTTGGGGGATCAAGATCAAGACCATCCTCCATTACATAGCAACTTTGAGGCCAGCCTAGGATACATGAGACCCTGTCTCAAAAAAAAAAATTTTTTTTTCCCCCTAAACTCCATCTAGGACCCGCTGGGGCAGAATGCAGTCTAGAAAAAGCTCCCTCAAGTGGCAGTCTGACTGGTTACTAGGTTTAGATGCAGCTGTCTAATATAACCTTATTTATTTAGATGAAGAAACTGAGCAGCAAGGCATGGTGGCTCCAAGCACTTGGAAGATAGACGCAGGAGGATCAGAAGTTCAAGGTCAGACTCCGTATCAAAGTTAAGACCAGCATGAGCTACATGAGACCTATCCTTTTTTTTTCGGTCTTTTTTTGAGACAGGGTCTCCCTGTAGCCCTAGCTGGCCTGGAACTCACTATGTGGACCAGGCTGGCCTTGAACTCACAGAGATTCACCTGCCTCTGCCTCCCAAGTGCTGGGACTAAAGGCATGAGCCACCACACCCAGCTGATTTAATCTATTAAATCTATCTTCAATAGATTGAGAAAGGAGAAAATACTTGTCCAAGTTTGTTTCGAGACTCTGAAGTGGTTTGGGTAGGGAAACTGGGCCTCTGAGATAAAGAGAACTATTCCTAGCATGTTATAATATGAGCTGGGGCCAGAGAGATGGTGCAGTGGTTAAGAGCACTGGCTGCTCTTGAAAAGGACCTGGGATTGGTTCCCAGGACCCACATGACAGCTCACAGCCATCCATAACTCCAGTTCCAGGGATATCTGATGCCTTCTTTTGGCCTCTGAGGGCATTGCACACATGTATACTTATATACATGCAGGCAAAACACTATAACACATAAAAAGGTTTTTTTTTTTTAAAGATCTTTTTTTCGGTCTTTTTGAGACAGGGTCCTCTGTAGCCCCAGCTGTCCTGGAACTCACTATGTAGACCAGGCTGGCCTCAAACTCACAAGAGATCCGCCTGCCTCTGCCTCCCGAGTGCCAGGATTAAAGGCGTGTGCCACCATGCCCAACTTTTTTAAAAGATCTTTAAAAAAAAAAAATGTATGAGCTAAGCAGACATCCTGTCCTTTTAAAGACACCAATATCCAGAGAAGCAGGAGAGGAAGTGGCCTACACAGTATCTCCATGAAGTGGGAGAAGGCAGCATAACCCAAAAACGCAGGTTCCCTGCCATCCCAACTTCAGTGTCCCACAGGCCCACACTTACCAGCCCAAGGGCTCTCACACTCATAGAGCATCCAGTGGTCGGCTCGGAATGGGGCATGGAACCACATGGAGTGGTCCAGCGAGACCATGAAGTTCACTTTGTACTTGAACTGGTGGGGCAGCAATGCAGTGCCCAGGAAGGCATAGTCAGAGATGTACGCAGCCACACAGCAATGCATCTTGATGTCACCCTCTCCTGCAACAGGTCCCGACCCCATTAGCCCTGGGCTCCTGGGCTTTCCAGCTCAGGACCTACAGGGAGACGGGGGAGAAAAGGGCTGCTGTGTACAAACTAGTCCTTGCATAAGTTTACCTGGCCCAAGGTAGGGCTGTGTGTGTGAGAATAAAGGAAGTGGGGACTGAGGGAGGACAGGCAAGTGAAACAAAAATCCAATCTTCCCAATTTTCTTACCTCAACCCCTCTTCCTGGTACTGGAGGGGGCATCTTACAGTTCGCACAAAGATGTCTATGATTAGCAGCAGACCTAGAGAAGAACCTTAGCAAGGCACCTTGTATCCACCCCCCAGAAAGGTCCAAACTGAGATTATAGTCACCTCATTCTCTCCATGCAAAGTGGTGAGGGTCCTCATGAGAAGCTGAGCCAAATTCCATGTAAAGGATAAGGAAATGGGCCCAAAAAGGAAGAGCAGTGTACTCAAGCCACAGAGAGAAATGAGTGGCAGGTCTAGACCCCTGGAGTGTTTTCTTCCAGTCCATGAGTCCTCTTACCAATATAGCCCTGGGCTCGCACCCAGAACATCTGCTTGGGCTCCAATGTCTGCAGCTGGTTCAGGGTAGGTGGGTTCACCAGCTTGATCTCAATAGGTACCTCCCGGGCAGCAATTCGATTCAATCCCACTCGATATTTATCTTGGAGGTTAGGGTCCCTGAAAGTAAAGAGGGGGCAGGGAAGTCCAAGAAGAGGAAGGCTCTCCTCTGCACTGCCTCTTCTGATCCCCATCATTCGTACATAGGAGCTTCCGTCCTGCAAAACTTCCTTGTGTAGCTGGCAAGATAGTATAGTATTTGAATCTGTTCCTTGTCATTTCAGCCATGCAGCACTGTATAAGTTAGTCATCTTTCTGAGCCTATTTTCCCATCTTCAAAATAAGGATAAGAATGTGACGTGTCCTACAACACACATCAGCACACAGTTCAAGGCATATGCACTGGTCAAAGCACTGCAGTGTCATTCTCACACCTTCAATATGGTTATCTCTCCCTTTTATAAGTGAGATCAGCATAGAGAATCCACAGAGAGTGAAGAAAGAGGATTTTATCTTAGCCAGTCTGGTCCCACAGTTCATACACCTAACCACTTATTCTGAACATTCCAGAAAAGACTTCACAATATAACTGAGTTCCCTAATCCTAGGTGGTGCCATTTCCAAGGAGCTCTTCGTGCCAATCATAGGTCCTAATTCCCACTGCATCTCTGGAGTGCTGTATGGTAGAACCTTCTGCAATGGTGAACTGCTCATCTGCACTGTGCACTGCAGTAGCCATTAGTATGTGTGACTACTGAGCACCTGAAATGTAACTAAGGAACAGAATCAATGGACTGGGTGTGGCTCAATGGTAGGCACCTGTTCAGCATGCACAAAACCCTGTGGGGAGGGGTTGAGCCCCAGCATTAAAAAAAAGAGAAAGAGGCTGGGCATGGTGGCACACACCTTTAATCCCAGCACTTGGGAGGCAGAGGCAGGTGGATCTCTGTCAATTCAGGGCCAGCCTGGTCTACACAGTGAGTTCTAGGCCAGCTGTGGCTACAGGGGGACTCTATCTCAAAAAAGAAAAAAAAAAGAGAAAATGAAGAGTGTTCATTCTGTTTCACTAATTTAACTATGTAGGGTGAGCTGCTACCTTACTAAACAGCACAGTTCTAATTTTTATTTATTCATTTATTTTTATTTTATGTGTATGAGTGTTTCGCCTGTATGTATGTTCATGTATCCATGTTGTGCAATGCCTGCAGAAGCCAGAAGAGGGCGCAAGATCCCCTGGAACTGGAGTTATGGGCAGTTGTTAGCTGCCATGTGGGTGCTGGGAATTGAACCCAAGTCTTCTGCAAGCGCAGCCAATGCTCTTAACCTCTGAGCCATCTCTCCAGCCTCCAACAACACAGTTCTATAATTCAGCATCCTCTGACAGTATTCTTATCATTTCAGCACACATTGAGTTTCACCCATGCACCAAGTCCCATGCTCATTCTTCTCTATTAGTGGTATAACTACTACATACAGAGCACCCACTAAATGCCTCTTATCTCATTCAATCCTCAGAGCAGCCTGGTGAGGTGGAAATTATGATTAGCACCATTTATAACTGTTAGATTTAGGAGAGCAGAAAAGGGAGTTTAGAGTTTAGAAATAAGAGTCGGGGCCAGACCTGCAACAGGCAAGAATGTGCCCTTTATTCAAAGTAACAGTGAAGGACAGAAGCCTTTCTGAGGGAAGAAGGCATCTACACCTAAGGAAAAGGGGCTTTGGGTTTTTGTATGAAATCTACTAAACCAGCTGCAGGAGTTTACTCAGTGGCAGAGTCTCGTGTCCTTGGGTAGTTGAAGGTCCTCCTCCCAAGATTATTTTCTCAGGCAAGGCAGGTGAGTAATCTTGGGCACTAAAGGAGGCAGGTTGGCTCCACAGTCTCCTTCAGTCTTGGGAGTGACCGGTTAGTAAGGTTTGAACAAGGCTAGCCTGCCAATTTAGGGCCAGGTGGTCACTTTAAGGGATTTATAGTTTTATTGCTTCCCTAATGAGGCTTATGGCTCTCCTGCAATTACACATTCTATCAAGTAACTTGCTCAAACTCACACAGCTAATAGGGACACTCTAGATTTGATTTCTGGCTATTCAGGCTCTGACACCCACCCCATCCCACATGCCCTGCTACTGCTGCAGTGTCCAGCACAAGCTAGAGAACCTCTCCCCTGTGACACAGCTGGAAGTAAAAACAGGGCAGAAATAGCTGTTCCCATTTCTTAGATGAAGAAACTAAGGCCTTGAAAGGCTGCTCGACAGGCAAAGTCCCATAGCAGGTAAGCAGTAACAGAGGCACAGCGCTGGCCAGAATCCACGTCTCTGTCCTGTGTCTGGACCCAGAACTCTTTTCCGTGTTCCAGAATCTTTCAAACTTTATTGGCTGTGATCCCAGTAAGAATTATATGTGTGTGTGTGTAAATTATATGTGTGTGTGTATACACACACACATGTATATATATGTATATACATTACTGGGTGATATATGTTAATATACAAATAAAAATATATGTTATATATAAAATAAAACACTTTATAAGTTATACATAAAATAAAAATGTTACCAGTTGAGAGTCAAAATATTTTAGAGGACCAGGTACATACCTTTAATACCAGCATTTGGGAAGCAGAAGCAGGCAGATCTCTGTGAGACTGAGGCCACCCTGGTCTACATAGCTAGTTCTAGGCCAGCTGGGGCATCAGAGACACCCTGTCTCAAAAAACCAGACAAATGAAAAGTATATATTTGAGAGGCACTAAGCAAAGGCACTGACCAGCAGGGTCCTGGAGGACACTTACCCTGCCATGCATCAACATAAAAGCTGCTGGATTATGGGCCTAAATCAGGAGGGAGCGGGTTAAGTCAGGACTGAAGGTAGCTATTTACCAAGAAGTTGCAGAAGTAGTTCAATGTTTACTGTTGGGTTCAAGTACTGGGAACTGACCCTGGGGCCTTATACATGCTAGGCAAGCATTCTACCACTGAGTTATAGCCCAAAGCCAGGTCATCTTTTTTTTTTTTTTTCTGGTCTTTTTGAGACAGGGTCTCCCTGTAGCCCCAGCTGTCCTGGAACTCACTATGTAGACCAGGCTGGCCTTGAACTCACAGAGATCCACCTGCCTCTGCCTCCCAAGTGCTGGGATTAAAGGTGTGCGCCACCACGCCTGGCCCTGCCCCAAGCCAGGTCAATTTTTTAAAAAAACATTATTTAGTTTGCTATTATTGTGTGGGGAGGAGTGCATGCATGCCACAGCCTGCATGTGGAGGTCAGAGGACAATTTTGTGGAGTGAGTTCTCTCCTTCCACCTTTATGTGGGTTCCAGGGATTGAATTCAGGTCATCAGCTTTGTACAGAAAGTACCTTTCCCTGCTGAGCCATCTCACCAGCCCCCAGACCAATATTTTAATAAGTAAATCTATACCCTGCCTGTCCTTGCTGACAGGGTATAAACTCTGAATAGTACATTATGATCTAATACACACCTCCATGTCATGCTAACACAAACTAGTGGCTCATGCCTTTAATCCTAGCAGTCAGGAGGCAGAGTCAGGTGGATGTCTATGAGTACCTGATCTACATAGTGAGTTCCAAGTTAGCCTGGTTTACATACTAAAACTGTGTCTCAAAAAAAAAAAGGAAAAAAAAGAAAGAAGGAAACCAGAAACACACTACTGAAACTGGGGTTTCACATAAGGACTCTTACCTGTACTACACACAGTATACTCCAATATCTTCTTTTCTAGTTCTTTATAATGCATATAAAAGTACACATATTTAGCCAGGCGTGGTGACACATGCTTTTAATCCCAGCATTTGGGAGGCGAGGCAGGCAGGTCTCTGTGAGTTTAAGACCAGCCTGGTCTATATAGTGAATTCCAGGTCAGCTGGGGCCAGAGGGAGACCCTGTCTCAAACACACACACACACACACACACACCAAAAAAAAAAAAAAAAAAAAAAGAAAAGAAAAGAAAACAGGTCTCATTATATAGCTCTGGCTTGCCTGGAATTCACTATGTAGACCAGGCAGGCCTGGAACTCACAGAGATTCACTTGCTTTTGCCTCCCAAACACTGAGATCTAATATTTATTTATTATTTATTTATTTATTTTGGTCTTTTTGAGATAGGGTCTCCCTATAGTGGCAGTGGCCTGGAACTCACTATGTAGACCAGGCTGGCCTGCCTCTGCCTCCTGAGTGCTGGGATTAAAGGTGTGCACCATCTCACCTGGCTAGTTTATATTTTTAATACATGGTCAATACTCACTAATGTGCTCCATGACCCACTAACAAGTGGGATCTAGAGTTTGAAAACACTGCCCTGGTACCAAATGAGAAGAGAAAGGAGACCAATGGGAGGGAAGGAGGAGGGGCAAGAGAGGTAATAGAATAATATAATCAAAGTACATAATATACATGTATGAGACTGTCATAATGAATCCATTACTTTACAAAATGTACACTAATTTTTTTTTTTTTTGGTATTTTTGAGACAGGGTCTCCCTGTAGCCCCAGCTGGCCTGGAACTCACTATGTAGACCAGGCTGGACTCAAACTCACAGAGATTCTATCTCTGCCACCCAAGTGCTGGGATTAAAGGCATGCACCACCATGCCCAGCTATGTACACTAATTTTTAAAAAGAAATGGAGAATAGTCCAGAAAATATTAGAGTGCATCAAAATCTAGTAATCTAGGTAGTGTTTTCTGATAATTTTGGGAAAGGAGGTGAGACAGGATCTCACTCTACTCCAGACTGTCCTGGAATTCACTATGTAGTCTAGACTGGCCCTGAACTCACAGCAATCCTCCTGCGTTAGCTTCCCAAATGCTGGGATTTCAGGCATGAACCACCATACCCAGCTCTGTTTTCTGAGACATTTTAGTGACACAATAAAGCAAATGTTGGATCATGATGTTAAATGTGGTTTTCACTATAGGTCAAAAAAACAGCAAAATTTAAGAGCTAGGGGTACAGTTTAGCTGTATAATGCTTACTTAGCATTTATTGAGGGCCTTTGGTTTGATCCCCAGAACCATAAAAACTAAAACATAAAAGAAATTTACAAATTAAAAAGAAAAAACACTTCCCTGGAGCCTCCGGGTCTCACCTTAAATACTGGTCAATGAGGGCCTGGTGGTCCAGCAGCTCTTCTGGCGGGGGAACAACAGGCATGGAGAACTGGTGCTGCAGGGGGCTGGGCTGCATCTGCTGGAAGGAGGCCTGGCAGATGAAGATGGCTTTGCCATGCTGTACAGCCTTCACAGAGCGCACTGAGAAGCTTGCCCCTGTGCGTGTCCGTTCCACCTGGTACAGTACTGGCACCTTTGGGTCCCCTGCAGTAGACACAAGGACACAGTGACCCTGAGTAAACCCATGGGGCCCTATCATCATCAGTGTTACCTCTAGTCTATTCATCCTTTTCTATTTTTGGCTGGCATAGAACTTGCTATGTAAACCAGGCTGGTACCTGCTCTGTCTCCAGAGTGCTGGGATTAAAGGTGTGTGCCACCATGCTCAGCCAAGAGTGGGTCTTATCCCCATTGTATAGGTAAGAAAACTGACACTTTAAAACTTTTCACCTAGGAGTAATGGTCACCTACTTATAATTTCAGCACCTTGGAGGCATAGGCAAGAGGATCAGGAGTTCCAGGTCAGCCTGGGCAACATGAGACCCAGTCTCAAACAAAAACATCTTTGTTTTGTATTTTTGACATGGGGTCTAGGATGTTTTGGAACGTGTTATTTGGGGCAACCTGCATGTGTTGAAAGCTATGGTCACTCATATTTGGCTCAAAGTAAATTATTATTTTTTTTGAGGTCAGAGTTGTGTTTTGCATTGACATTTCCTTTTCCTGTACTTATACGGGGTTCTCAGAGATGACACCGAAGGATTTATTTTTTTTCTTTCTCACCACCCCAGGGTGGGTGCTTTTTGAGGCTGGGGCTCTTGGAGCCCAGGCTAATCTTGAACTTCCCCCTGCCTTTACTTCCTGAATGCTGGGATAATAGGTATGCATCACCATACATGATTTTATGTAGCTTCCCAGGACTGAACCCAGGGTTCTGCACATGCTAGGCAAGCACTTTACTAACCCAGTTGTGTCCCTATCATTTGTGATTTTATTTTTTGTTTTCTTCTCCAGAGGAAAAATAACATGCAGAGGTCATCTGATTTGGCATAGACTTAGAACTTGGAATATCCAGAGCAGGGGTCAGAAACATTCTATAAAGGGCCAGATGGTAAATATTTTTTTTAATTTTTTTTCAGGGGTTTTTAGTTTGTTCATTTCCAGTGTTCATTCCCAGGGGTCTCTCTGGCTAGGCAAACATCTACCACTGAGTCACAGCCTTGTCATCAACCAAGTAGCATTCTCTCTTGTTCTGTTCCTTTGTTTGCTTCTTTGCTTTTCTAATAGCAGCTTACCTTGAGGCAGCCTGGGAACTCCTCCCTCAACCCCCAGGTTCTGGATTACAGTTGTTTGCCATCATACCTACCTTTAGGCTATTAGGAAAAGATCTGATACAATAAATGGTCAAGAAGGGCTTCCCAGCATCTTTGATTTAAAAGTATCCTTGGTGACATGCCTTGAAGTCCCAGCACTTGGGAGGCAGAGGCAGGTGGATCTCTATGAGTTTGAGGCCAGCCTGGTCTACATAGTGAGTTCCAAGCCAGCTGGAGCTACAGGGAGACCCTGTCTCAAAAAGACCAAAAAAAAATTATATATATATATAAATATAAATATAAATATATATATATATGCAAGCAGTGCCCTGAAACCAGCTTGGGTTATGTGAACAGGCCTTGTCTCAAAAAGTAAACAAACAGGGGCTAGATAGATGGCTCAATGGTTAAGAACACTGGCTGCTCTTGCAGAGAACCTGGGTTCAGTTCCCAGCACCCACCTGGTGGCTAATAACCATCCATGACTCCAGTTCCAGGGGATTCAATACCCCCTTCTGACCCTCATTACATGCATAGATGTGCTTACATGAATACAGATAAAACACTCATACACACAAAAAAAATTTTTTAAGTAAAACAGCAGGAGAGATGGCTAGTGGTTAAGAATACTGGCTGTTCTTGCAGAAGACCCAGGTTCAAATCCCAGCACCCACATGGCAGCTAGCAATTGTCCATAACTCCAGTTCCAGGGGATCCAACGCCCTCTTTTGTCCTCCGTGGGCACTGCACAACATGGGTGCACTTACACACATTCAGGCAATACAGACATACACATAAAAATAATAAATATTTAAAATAAAAAAAATTTTTTTAAAGTAAAACACAAGCTGGGTGTGGTGACACATACCTTTAATCCCAGCACTCGGGAGGCAGAGGCAGGCAGACCTCTGTGAGTTCAAGGCCAGCCTGGTCTACATAGTGAGTTTCAGGACAGCTGGGGCTACAGGAAGACCCTGTCTCAAAAAGACCAAAAAAAAAAAAAAAAAAAAAAGTAAAACAGTGAACAACAACAAAAACCAGCATCTCAAGAGTTACCTTGTGGGATTCTGGACAGCTCCTTGTATATCAATGGTAAACATCAATGGAAAGGAGAATTAATGATAAGGTGGGGAGGAGACTCAGTATTGCAGAAAAGGGTCAGGAACTGACTTCCCAAGCCATATCCCTGTTAAAGATTTAACAAGGCAGACTGACTTTGCAGTTGTGGAAAGTTGGAATGCTACAGATGCAGAGCCAGATTCTTTTGGGCTAACTTTAGTCCCTTTAACAACACTGATTGCCCACCTTGGTGCCTGGCTACTATACTTTCAACTATCAGGTAAAACCTCTGGAACATATTAATAGACACCAGCACACCAGCTTCCAACAACCCCAAAGCTAAGAATATCATTAGATAGCATCTCAAACCTATAGCAGAGATTTTTCCAGCTTGCTCTAACAGCCTACCTCTCACTCCACTATTTGGAAAATGCCTTGATTTATGATTTTCTTTTTGTTTCATGACTACGAAAAGTTCATGCAACCACTTCCACATTAGAATGTGTTATTTGGGGCAACCTGAACCTGTGCTGCCAGGCAGTGACCATTCATAGTTGGCTGAGAAAAATAATGATCCTTTATTTCTTTTGTGGTAAGGGCTGTGTCTCGAATTCACGCTTCCTTTTTCTGTAGTTACTCAGGGTTCTCCGAGATGAATGAGGCACAGGAGTTTATTGATTGCTTTTTCTTTTTCTCTCAGGGAGGCTTTTTGAGACAATTTAATGTATCCAAGGATGCCCTGAGCTCCTGATCCCCTTCCATCTCAAGTACTGGGATTACAGCCAAGTGCCACCATGCCTGGCACTCCTCTCTACAAGCTCCCTGCTGTCCTCAGCACCTTGCTATCCTTTGACTTTCAGCAGTTCCAGAACAGCTGCCATATCTTATAACCTTTCGGTGAGTGAGAGGAAGTGCAAGTGACTGGTCATGAAACGGTAGGTTGGGTGGCCCATTTCATGTAGCTTCATTTCCCAGGAAGAGGAGTATCCCTAAAATCCAAGACAGTCACCAGGCAACTCTCCTATAGTTTAGAATTATCTCCAAAGAGTAAAGGAAAGAAGCAAAAAGCAAGAATTGGACAGTTGGTGCTACACAAATCCAAATCCAAATCCTGGCTCTGCCTCCATGAGCACTCTCAGGGAGATTACAAAATCTCTTCAGGCCCTAGTTTCCTGATAAGATTGGTGACAGGAGGGCCAGTGAGATGGCTCAGCAGGTGAAGGTGATTGCCACCAAGCCTTACAACCCAAGGTCAATCCCCAAAACCCATATGGTAAAAGGAGAGAACTGACTTCACAAAGTAGCCCTTTCACCTCCATGCACCCACTTAACAAATATACATAAGACAATTTTATAAAGAAAAAGGGGCTGACAAGATGACTCAGGTTAAGAGCACTTACTGAGCTTCTAGAAGACCCAGGTTTGTTACCTACCACCATATGGTGGCTAACACCCATTATTAACTTCAGGGGATGACAGACACCCTCTCCTGGCCTCCTCCAGCACTGCATGCACATGGTGATACATTATATATATATAAACGCATGCAGGCAAAACACTCATATGCATAAAATAAAAATAAGGGGCCGGAGAGATGGCTCAGTGGTTAAGAGCACTGGTTGCTCTTCCAGAGGACCCAAGTTCAATTTCCTACACCCACACTGTGACATCTAACAATTGTCTATAACTCCAGTTCCAGATGTATCCAATGCCTTCTGGCCTCTGCAGGCTTTGCAAAATATAGGTGCACTTACATACGTGCAGGCAAAGCCAGGCTTGGTGGTGCGTGCCTTTAATCCCAGCACTCGGGAGGCAGAGGCAGGCGGATCTCTGAGTTCAAGGCCAACCTGGTCTATATAGTAAGTTCCAGGCCAGCTGGGCTACAGGGAGACCGTCTCAAAAAGAAACAAACAAACAAAAAAAAAACCTCAAAAAACAAAAATACATTCAGGCAAAACACTCATACACATAAAAATATTTTTTAAATAAAATAAAAATAAATATAAAGAAGGGCAGGTGGTGAAGCTTCTGAGAGGATTCCTGGACTCTTTCATGCACTCAGCAAAGGTTATTATTTATCTATTCAGGAACAATCTCATTTAAACACATCTAGGAACCTGGTATGATAATGCATGATAGACTCCCCGCACATGGAAGGTGTAGGTGGGGGGATCAGGAGTTCGAGGGCTGGAGAGATGGCTCAGCAGTTAAGAGCACTGACTGCTCTTGCAGAGGACCTGGGTTCAATTCCCAGCACCCACATGGCAGCTACGAACCATCCTTAACTCCAGTTCCAAGGGAATCTGAAGCCTTCTTCTGACCTCCGTGGCAATGCATGACACAGGTACACTCACATACACACAGGCAATACACTCATACATATAAAATAAATAAAAAGAATTTTAAAATAATATTAATTTAAAAATAGAATCTTTCAAAAAAACAAAAAGACTAATGGAAAGCATCTCATCTTCATTGCCAAATAAACATTGCAGGATGCCACAGTATTGGACCAACTGCCTATGCTGGGCCACAGCAGATTAGACTTAAAATCTAATGCTAAAGTTTCATGTCAGCAAACCAAAACTAAGCTGTTTAATCTGACTTTTATTTTAAAGATTTTATTTTTATTATTTTAATTACATGTATATGTGTGTGTCTGTGTGTGCACATGAGTGCAGGTGCCCATGAAGGTTAGAGGCATCAGATTCCCTGAAGCTGGAGTTTCAGGCAGTTGTGAGCTGCCTGATGTAAATGCTGGGAACCAAACTCTGGTCCTCTACAAGAGCTGAGCCATCTCTCCAGCCCTGTTCATCTGACTTTCTAAAGAAATCAAAAGATATGGTCAAATTTCCCAAATAAGTCCGTTTTCTTCAGCATACTAATAAAGTTCCCTTAATCCTCTTACACGAAAAAGTGAACCAGAAGTCATATGATGTTAACCAGTAATTTTTCTGTACTTCTGCCCTGACAAGAAAAGCAAGGGAAATTAACACCCTTCCTCCAGAAGTTAGAATTTCCCTCCTGCATGCCAGGCAAGTCCTCGGGCCCTGAAATACACCTCCAGTCCAAAGAAAGTAACTGTATGACCAGTCCACTTGTTCTACATTCTTCAGTTTCTCTGTATCTAAACAGCAACCTTCTCTGCTTGGCTCATTGAAGCACTTATTCTATTTTATGAAATGAGGTATCACCTGATTCTAGAATCAAAACTAAAGTCAATTAAGCACCAGAAGAGGTTGCATCCAAGCCTGCAGTACCAACACTCCAGAAGGAGGCTGAGGTTGTGGCAGCAAGATCAGAGGATCCAAGTTCCAAGCCAGACTTGGTAACCTATCTTTAAAAAAGATAGGTTTTATGTTTAAAAAACATAAAACCTGCCAGGCATGGTGGTGTACACCTTTGCTCCCAGGACTCAGGAGGCAGAGACAGGTGAAATCTCTGTGAGTTTGAGCCCAGCCTGGTCTACATAGTGAGTTCCAGGCCAGCTGGGACTACAAGGAGACTCTGTCTCAAAAAGACCAAAAAACAACAACAACAACAAAACAAAACAAAAAAAACCCATAAACCCAAACCAGCCAAATATCTCACAGTATAAAAATCCTAGAATAGGGCTAAGAATGTGGCTGAGTTATTCAAGTGCTTGTCTAGCAGACAGGGAACCTTGGGTTCTCTCCAACACCAAATGAACAGGGTGTGATATAATTCCAGTACTCAAGAGGTACAAGCAGAAAGATCAGAACTTCAAAGGTTATTGGCTATGTAGCAAGTTTGAGGCCAGCCAAAGGTAAGTGCAACCCAGCCTCAAAAAAATGGGAGACACAGGATAGTAAAGTATTACTATAATTTCCATACTTTTAAATTGAAGGCAGAAAATCCTGCTGTTGTTTTCAAATACTGGGGATGGAGGATGAACCCAGGCTTTGGCACATGCTAGGTAAGAGCTTTACTAGTGGGCCACTCTTTCAACTCTCAATTCCCCCCCCCCGGAAGATTTTCTTTCCTTCATCCTTCCTTTTTTTTCATTTTTCTTTGAGATACAGTCTTATGTAGCCCATAGTGGCCTGGAACTCATGACGTAGCTGAGGATGACCTTGAACTTCTGGTCTTCCTGCCTCTACCTCTTTAATGCTGGGATTAAGGCACTTCAATACCACACCTATTTTAAAAAAATATTTTATTTTTATTTTATGTGTATGCATGTATTGCCTACATGTAGGTAAGTACACCCAAGTTGTGCAATGCCCTCAGAGGACAGAAGAGACTGTTGGATCTCCTGGAACTGGAGTTACAGACAGTTGTTAGCTGCCATGTGAGTGCTGGGCTTCGAACCCAGGTCTTCTGCAAGAACAGTGTTCTAAACCACTAAGCCACTTCTCCAGGCCCAGCATTCTTCTTTTTTAATATTTATCATTTTTATTTTATGTGTAGGAATGTATCACCTGCATGTGTTTAAGTGCACCCATGTGGTGCAATGCCCTTGGAGGTCAGAAGAGGGCATCTGAGCCCCTGAAATTGGAGTCACAAATGATTGTTAGCTGCCACATAGGTCCTGGGAACTGAACTGAGTCTTCTTCAAGAGCAGTCAGCGCTCTTAACTGCTGAGCCATCTCTCCAGCTCCCAAATTTCTTTTTTTTGGTCTTTTTTGATACAGGGTCTCCCTGTAGCCCCAGCTGGCCTGGAACTCACTATGTAGACCAGGCTGACTTTGAACTCAGAGATCCACCTTCCTCTGCCTCCAGAGTGCTGGGATTAAAGGCATGAGCTACCATGCCTGGCTCCAAATTCTTATATATTGTGGGGAGGGCTGGCACATAGGCCACAGTCTGGGAGTAGAGGTTAGAGAACTTTCAAGAGTTGTTCTCTCCTTCTATCATGTGGGTCCTAGGGACTGAACTCAGGTCATCAGGCTTTGTGGCAAGTGCCTTTACCCACTGAGCCATCATGCTGTTGGTTCCCCAATATTTTCTTTCCCTTTTTTTTCGTTTGAGACAGGGTCTCTCTGTAACCATAGCCAGCCTGGGACTCGACTTGTAGACCAGGCTGGCCTCAGTCTGTGAGATCTGCCTGCCTCTGCCTCCTGAGTGGTGGGATTAAAGACATGTGCCACATTGTACAACACATACATGTAGGTGCACTTTCATGTAGGCAATACATTCATACACATAAAACAAAAATGGTAAATATTTTTTAAAAGTTGACTTGCCAGGTCTGGTGGCGCATGCCTTTAATTCCAGCACTTGGGAGTTCAAGGCCAATCTGGTCTACATAGGGAGTTCCTGGCCATCTAGAGCTACAGGGTGTACTCTGTCACAAAAAAAAGTTGGTTGAGGCAATCCTGCCTCAGCCTCCCATGTTGGGATTACAGGTCTGAGCCACAATGGGCTTTCTACCAACAGACCCTTCCAGGTGTTCTGCCACTGAGTTACAACCTCAGGCCCCTAGGTCTTTTTCCCCTTCTCTTCCCGTTTCTCTTCGGTCAGTCTCCAACGCCAGGAAGAAGTGACTGCAGGATCCCCAGGGGTGGGTGCAAGCAAGGAGCCAGGTTTACCTGCCCGAACAAAGTAGCAGTGCAGGGAGTGTACATGGACATCCTCAGTCACCGACTTGGCTGCAGCCACCAGGGCTTGGCCCACGATCTGACCCCCAAAGAGCCGCTGGGTGGTGGGTACCCAATAATGCCTTCCTCTGTGGAGAGAGGAGGAAAGGGGAATAGACTTGCAGGCTGCTCTGAATTCCTTGACCCTCCAGTGCAGGATCCCTTAACCTTATCGGGGATTGGGATCCTTTTGAGACTCTGATGAAGCCAAACACTCTGTCTCAAATATTCTATCACTGCATAAAATTTCAGTCTTTATGACTACTCAGCTCTTAGCCCACGGTCACCTCTGTCCCCGGCGTGATCGTGGCCTGCAGCCAGTGTGTGCTGCGGTGACAGCCATGGAGCTAGGCAGCTGCTTCAAGACATACGAGGACTTCAAGGAGTGCTTCAGCTCTTGCAGAGGATCTGGGTTCGATTCCCAGCACCCACATGGTGGCTGTGAACTATCCTTAACTCCAGGTTCAAGAGGAATCCAAAGCTCTCTTTTGACCTCCGTGGCACTGCACGACATGGGTGCACTCACACACATGCAGGCAATACACTTGTACACACATAAAAATAATAAATATTTTTTTATAAAAACCTAAGTCCCTGGGGCTGAAGAGATGGCTCGGAGTTTAAGAGCACTGACTGCTCTTGCAGAGGATCGGGGTTCGATTCCCAACACCCACATGGCAGCTACAAACCATCCTTAACTCCAGAACTCCAGTTCCAGGGGAATCCGAAGCCTTCTTCTGACCTCTGTGGCACTGCACGACTCGGGTGCACTCAAATACATGTAAGGCAATACACTCATACACATAAAGTAATAAAAATATTTTTATAGAGAACCAAGTCCCTCATTTTACACAGAGGACAGAGATCAGAGAAAATGAACTGAGCAAATTCTCACAACTGAAATATTACCAATCCCAGACAGTTTCAAGTTCACTGTTTCTTCCACTCCCTAAACCAGGGAAAGGTAAAGGCCAGAAGCTTCTCAAGGCCTTGAACGGACAGGATAAAACCCAAAGCAGAGCTGGGAGTGGACAGTATGAAAAAAAGTTTGCCACTGGCACCCTTCAACCATAAGAGTGCATTTTTTCCAACAACTAGTTTCACAGCTAGAGAAATATCATCTTTTAAAAAAAGTCCAACTGTCCAACAGTCCAAAGCTGTGAAATTTCCCGTGAATAAACAAATTGGCCTGGTCTTCCAGGTGAAAGAGCTTGCCCAGTACCTTGAGGAAGGTAAAGGGTTCCACACCCAGCCTGGAGCTTATTTATCATTATGCATTATAATGCATTGCAAAGAAAACAAACTCCCTGCTCAGGAAGCTAGAATTCCCAGGTGGAAGGGAGACCAAAGAAAGCTAGCTATTCCTATAAAATCGGTTAGAGCTGTGGTCAAAACTTAAAAACTGCAGGGCGTGGGGAGTACACACCTTGATTCCAGTACTGGGAAGGCAGAGGCAGGTGGATCACTGCGAGTTCCAGTCCAGCCTACTCTACATAAGGAGCGCCAGGCCAGCCAAGGCTACATAGTGAGACTGTCTGAAAAAATTAATTAATTAAAAATAAATGTTAAGGCCAGGCGTGGTGGCGCACGCCTTTAATCCCAGCATTCGGGAGGCAGAGGCAGGAGGATCCCTGTGAGTTCAAGGCCAGCCTGGTCTACATAGTGAGTTCCAGGACAGCTGGGGCTACAGGGATACAGGGAGACCCTGTCTCAAAAAGACCAAAAAAAAAAAAATACATAAATAAATTTTAAGAACCTGTTACAGGCCCCAGAATGAGTCCTGAGCTCAGACCTCAGCAAATGGTGCTGGGGGTGGGGTGTGTGCGCTTTTAAGGAGCGGCCTGGGGTACAGGAGTACAAGAGCACCGAGCCTGCATGAAGCCTGGGTTCCCTGGGGGGGGGGGGGGGTCTCTCTGCCGGGTCTGCATGGACCTGGATTCCCAGCAACGGCGGGGCCACGGGACTCTCTGGCCGGCCTACACGGACCTGAGTTACCAGCGGCGGGGGGCTGGGGGAAGGGGTGTCAAGGGACTCTGTCCGGCCTGCATGGAGTTGGGTTCCCAGCAGCGGGGTGTCACGGAGTGTCTGTCCTGGAGGCCTGCGAACCTGTGCGGCCGGCTACCTGAAGAGATCCGCGTCTAGCGGCTCGAGGTTGAGCACGCTGGTGACCAGGACGCTACGGAGGTCCCCAGAAGGATCATCGCGGTCGCCGTCGCCCAGCCCGTCCCCCTGGGCCTTCGGCGATGACATAACGCTTCCGCACGCTCCGCCGCGGACGCTCCACGGTCCACAAGCTGAGCAAGGAAGTTTATAACGCCGCGCGGGCGCTTCCGGCAGCTGGCTTCAGCGACCGGAAATCCGAGGGCCTCGCAGAGTGAAACACACATTATTATTGGTTGGCACACCTGTCCATTACAAAGTGGGCGTGGCCCTCTCTATCTAGAGATTGGAGAATTTGTATGCCAATCTGCAAGTTTCGCGTGTGATTGGATACGTCGGCGAGGGGCGGGGCCTTGGGGCTAGATAATTAGGGCGAGTGTCATTTCCCTTCTGTCAGAGACTGAGCCGCCCCCAGGTTGTGATAACCCTGTCGGGACTCCAGCTTCTCCCGAGCTCCCCATAGGCCACCCGAACCGGGCCGTCCGCGAAGGGGCTGACCCACCACCGGTTCACGGTGACCTCTGACCCCGGTGTGATCGTGGGCCGCAGCCCCGGCGTGCGCTGCGGTGGCGACCATGGAGCTAGGCAGCTGCTTCAAGACCTACGAGGACTTCAAGGAGTGCTTCAGCGCCTACAAGAAGGAGACGAGGTGCTCCTTCATTGTCAGGGACTGCATCTCCGTCCGCTTCCACAACCTCAACCACGGCACCTCATTCCGAGAGGACATCCTGTAAGGGCGGGGCCGGAGGATGGGGAGGAGGGCTGCGTGGAGAAGGGAGCTTTGGGGAGGGTGGAAGCTACCTGGGGGAGAAGGGTTGCCTGGAGGAGGGGAGCTACCTGGAGAAAGAGAAGGGGGGAGGCTGCCTAGGTGTGGAGGGCTTCCTGGAGGAGGGAGGGCAACCTGGAGGAGGAGGGCTACCTGGATGAGGTGGGGGGCTGCTTGGAGGAGGGGGTCTATCTGGAAAAGGGGGGGTCTACATGGAGGAGGAGGGCGGAATACAGGGAGGAGGAGGGGGGCGCCCTGGAGGAGGAGGGTGTGCATTGGGTCCATCCCTTCCACAGGCACTCTGTTGGGTACTTGCTTGTGTGCCTGCTGAAACGAGAGGGAAACCCCACAGGCACCCACATTTCTCTTTCTCCCACTCATTCATTTACAAGATTTTCTGGAATTCTCAGTAACTGCAGTTTCTCCCATTTATTTGGAGAGCATCTGCAGTGTCTCAAGCACAAAGCTTGGCCTGCAGGAACTGATGAAAATGCCTTGGCAATTTCCCTCATCAGTCTCTCCTCTTTACAGCAGTAACCCGTGCTCACACTGGTTGGTTGTCATTCCTTTATTGATTTATTTTGTAAATGACTCTTGGGCTCCTAATACAGCATTTCAAACACTTTCTTATCCGAGACAGTGTTCTCTACTTTATTCCTGTTTACTCTGCAGACCTGTGTTGTAGCTGTTATTTTACTCATTTGACAGATGAGGAAACACCTTATGGGCTAAGGCCTGTTGAAAACGCAAATGCTTTTAGGGATCAGGTGCCTAATGTAAATTTAGCTTTTATTTTTACTTTGAGAAAATGAATGATAAGGTGCAGTTCTAGAATCCCAGCACTGGGAGGTTGAGACAGGAGGATCATAAGTTTGAGGCAAATCAGTTTCAAAAAAACATAGCAGATATGTGAACAAGGAAAAATACGAAGCTGACCCCATCTAATCAGTTCAGCCTTGTAAAAATGAAGGTCCAGTGTTGCCAGACTTTGGCTGTGAGAAACCCAGGCATTATATGAATCAATTTGAAAATCAACTCAAGCATTAATTGCACCGTGTAGGCCAACAATGAGAGTCAAATTATACCAAAGTTTGGAAACCACAATTGAGATACTTAGCAAGCACTCCCAAGCTAAGGAGCTTGACCACATTCTGCCACAACCATACCAGGTACACATGAAGAGGAGCAATTCACTAATCCCCAAATGTTAAAGGTGGGTGTACTTGGACTCAGGAACTGGTACACTATCAAAATATTTAAATAAATAAATTTTAAAAGAAGAAAATGGTCTCCTGTTTTTGGACACAAGCTCTCTATAGCCTGGGTAGCCTTGAACACATGGCAGTCCTCCTTTCTCTGTCTCCCAAATGCTAGGATTAGACATGAACCACATCTGGCTCAGACTTTGTTTCTTCTTGTGTATTCCCTTCCCCATGCAATAGTTATTTACATAGCACTTATATTGTGTTATGTATTATAAGTAATCTGTAGGTGATTTAAGTATACAAGAGGCTGTGCTATATTAAGTACTACATAGAAGAGACTTGAACATCTACATATTGTAGTGTCTGGAGACCATGACTGTGTGTGCTAAGATGTACAAGAGGTAGGTGTGACAGCTCTTCCTCTAATCCCAGCACTTAAGAGGATGAGGCAGGAGATTGCATGAGCTTGAAGCCAGGGTGGAATACATTGTGAACTCCAAACCAGGAGAGATATACAAAGAAAGAGGTAACAAATGCTGGGGAGATAAACAAGGCTTCACACTGCAGTGAGTGTCTTTTTCTGGGTCTGACTTCAGAGGCCAAGAGTAGAACACTGGTTCATTACTGCGTTGCAGGGAGGAATTTGACCAGAAGGATCCATGGTCATGAAGACAGATTTGTGGAACAAGGTGGCATATTAGATAAACAGTGTAGGCTGCCAGTGTTGACAGGAGATGAAGTCAGTTGTAATCTGTCTGAAGGGACTTTGCATACCATAGTGAGATGTTTGGACTTATCCTATGTAGTAGCACCTTACTATGCTACCCTTCAGGTAGATCATCCCAGCATCCAGCATGGGGAATGGCCATTTTGATAATTGTTGAATAAATGATTTATCAAGTGTTAAACATAATTTAGGTAAATGGTGCTGCAGGAATTCAGTTTTCTATTTGCTATTGCAAAAAACTACCACAAGTTTAGTGGAGCTTTTAATTTTTATTAGTTTGTTGTTTTCAACAGAGTGTCACTATGTAGCCCTGGGTGACCTGGAACTCATCATGTAGACTAGGCTGGCCTTGAACAATTCACCATGGCATGAAGGCTCATGCCATTAATCCCAGCACTCAGAAGTCAGGCAGGCAGATCTCTGTGGACTACAGGTTTGTGCCACCATGCCCAGCTATTATTTTTCATTTTATTTTCAATTTTGATGTTGGGGATCTAACCCAGGCCTGCATATGCTAAGCTCATGCACAACTATTGAGTTACATACCCAGCCAGATTCTCTATTTCCTAGTCATCTGATAACTGTACTTCCTCCTTGCCATGTAACCTAACATGTTCATAGGTCCTACCACAAGAGATTAACATCCTGAAAGGAGCAATGGAGTGAGTGAGTGCAGATGTTAAGATGATATGCTTCTGTTGGGAAGAAGTGGCTTATGTTTGTCCACACAGGAAAAGAAAGCAGGAAAGAGACTACTTAGCTAAAAGAATTTCCATTGTTTGTATTGTCCATTTTTGAGACAAGGTCTCCCTATGTAGACTGTGCTAGCCACAAACTCAAGATCCTTTTCCCTCAGCTTCCCAAGTGCTGGGACCACAGGTTGATGCAGTCATGTACAGCTACAAAGAAAGGTTCCCACTAGAGCACCAGGAAGGAAAACTGGAGGGTTCAAAATAAACAGATCGGGATAAGATTTTTTTTAATTTTATGTGTTTGTGCACATGTGTGTACACATGCCTGAGTATGTATGTGCTCTTCAGGTGTGCAGGAGCCCATAGAGGTCAGAAGAGGGCATCAAATCCTCTGGAACTGGAGTTATAAACCCTTGTGAACCACCATGTGGGTGCTAGGAACCAAACTCAGTTTTCTGCAAGAGCAGTGAATGCTCTTAACCACTGGGCCATCTCTCTAGCCCCCTTTTTTTTGTTTGTTTGTTTGATTTTTGGGTTTTTTTGTTTTTTGTTTTAGACAGAGTCTTGACTGCATAGCCCAAACTGGAGTGTAATTTACTTTTATATCCCCCAGGAGATCCTGTGACAGTCTTCCAAGTGCTAGGATTATAGACATATGCTACCATGCCTGACTTGCATTTTGACAATTTGAAGGGTTGGGTTTTGTTTTGTTTTGTTTTGTTTTGCTTTATTTAAAGATGGTCTCTTGTGGCCCTTACTGGCCTCAAACTCCCCATTTTCCGGAGAAGTGCCTTGAACTGGTCTTCCTGCCTCTACCTTCCAAGTGCTGAGATTATAGGAATGAGGCGCCACACCCAGTTTGGGGCTTTGGGGGTGGGGGTGTTGGGGATCAAACCCAGGTCCTCATATATGCTGAGCAAGTGCCTTCCAATGAGATATATCACAAGCCTCTGTTTGAATTTTATGAATAACTGACTAACTGAACAGTACTAGTTCATGTTTATGATTCCAATACTTGGGCGGCCAAGCTAGGAGGGCTACCATAAATTCAAGACCATTGAGTAAAGAGTGAGACCTTGTCTCAAAATTTAAATGGCTATCCTAACCACACAAAAACAAACATAAAAACACTCCAGGGAACCTGGTGTGGTGGTGTACACTTTTAATCCCAGCACTTGGGAGGCAGTAGGTCTCTTGTTAGATCAAGACCAGCCTGGTTTACATAGGGAGTTCCAAGTCAGCATATTCTTTTTTTTTTTAATTTTTTATTTTTTGTGTATGTGTGTATTGCCTGCATGTAAGTAAGTGCACCCGTGTCATGCAGTGCCCATGGAGGTCAGAAGAGGGCATCAGATTTCCCTGGAACTGGAGTTATTGATGGTTGTTAGCCACCATGCGGGTGCTGAGAATTGAACCTGGGTCCTCTGCAAGAGCATTGTATGGGCAGCTTAGTTGATTCGCATTGATCTCATTGATTTTTGCAGTTCTTGCAAACTTCCTGCATGCTGGTGTCTGAAGATATGTTGCCGAGAAAAATAAATTAGGGCCCTGCTCTCGTAGAATGTCCACTCTAGTCAGGGAGCTATATTAAACTATAATAGGATAACTGTTTCCTTTTTTTAAAATATTTTATTTATTTTTTTTTATTTTATGTGTATGAGTGTATTGCCTGCATGTATGTGAGTGCACGCATGTCGTGCATTGCCGTGGAGGTCAGAAGAGGGCCCCCTTACATTTTTAAAAAAAAACAGTTGGGACTGGAGAGATGGCCCAGCGGTTAAGAACACTGACTGTTCTTGCAGAAGACCTGGGTTCGAATCCCAGCACCCACATGGCCATTAACAACTGTCCATAACTCCAGTTCCAGGGGATCCAATAACATCTTCTGTCCTCCAAGGGCATTGTACGACACAGGTGCACTTCCCTACATGCAGGCAATAAACACATAAAATAAAAATAAAAAAAAAATTTTTTGTCTTTTTGAAGTAGGGTCTCCGTGTAGCTCCAGCTGTCCTGGAACTCACTATGTAGACCAGGCTGGCCTTGAACTCACAGAGATCTGCCTGCCTCTGCCTCCCAAGTGCTGGGACTACAGGTGTGTGCAACCATGCCCAGCTAAAAAATTTTTTTTTAATGTAAGAAAGTCCAGGGTGCTGAGTGGTGAAATGATGGGGCAGCTTAATCTGGTTGATGGGATGGGGTGGGTGATGGGATGCTGATGGATACTTTATACCATACAGGCTCTTGAGAAAAGCGAAACATTGTTATCTCTGGCATTTTGCAGAGATGATTTACAAAGCCCAAAGACCCTGACTGGGTCTTCTGTATAACCTGGTCAGA